AACATGGATTAATTTTTATTTTTTTTTAAAGTGCGACGGGTATAATGGATTTTTATTTGGCCTTTTTGGGGGCTGAAGAAAGAAGATTTTGGAAAAAAGAAGACGTCAAATGGTAAGTTTATTTTTTTTTTTTTACAGGTTAGTTATTTTATTCCCCCCTCACTATTTTTAGGGTGAGGGGGGTAGGTAGGGGATAGGGTTTTTTTGGGTGGGGGGTGTGACTAGGGGCTTGGGACCCCTAGTCACCTTGATTGGGGGGGGGTGTTTCATTTAGGGCCCCCACCCACCGCTCAGGGGGGGGGAGGACAGTAGGTCCCCCCCCTTATTGTTTTACTGGGGCCCCCACCCACGCTCAGGGGTGGGGGCCGGGGGGGGGAGGACAGTAGGTCCCCCCCCTTATTGTTTTATTAGGGCCCCCACCCACCGCTCAGGGGTGGGGGCCGGTGGGGGAGGACAGTAGGTCCCCCCCCTTCTTGTTTTATTAGGGCCCCCACCCACCGCGCAGGGGTGGGGGCCAGGGGGGACAGTAGGTAAGGAGTAAGGAGTATCCCATAACAATGACCATTTATAAAATTGTAAGTGTCTATTACAAATCAGTACTTTTATAAGTAAATTATTAAACGTGTGCGTGCATTGACGGAGCCCTTCAGAGGATCGCTTGCAAATCTGCAGTTCAAATTTTCCAAACTGTTTTAGGATATACCCCCAATTATTACATGCATTTTCATCTATTATACAGTGATTTATATTTGTTTCCAATATGGACTATGGAGTGTTACTTTTAAGCCATTTATAGAAGTGACACAAACTAGACTCTAAACTGGAATTAAAAATCTGTTTCTTCAGCCCAGGGCTTGACATATTTTTTGGATTCTAGGAGCCAGCTAAAAAAGTTAGGAGCCTTTTTAAAAAAAAATAAAAAATCTATTAAAGTTTAATATACAATGAGAAATATGCAAATTTTTTTTTTTTTGTAAATCTTTGTTTTATTGAGACAGATTGATAAACACATACATTGTACATAACATAAGTTGAGAAATAACAGATCTGTGTAATCAGGGCAAGATAAAACTTTCAACTGTAAAATGCCTCATTTAAAAGAAAATTTCCTCGTGTGTGTCTGTAGGGATGTGTGCTATGTTTGGTAATGTGCAGTAGTGTTGCTTGTGGGTACCACTGGGGTGAATGGTGTGCTATGTCAATTGTCATTATGGTTCCGCGAAGTACCGGACCCTTGTGTTTGTCGTGTGTCGTATTTCAGGGTATTCGGGTCTGGCATTGTCGTTTGTGACACCATCGTCCGTGTGTGGTACCAGTCGCGTCGTCTAGTGGACGCTATGCCCCTAACCAAAGGGGTATACGGGGGGGAGGTGGCTTTGCTTTGTATGTTTGGGCTTCTTTGTGGGAGTGGGTCGTCTATGTGGGTAGCGATTGTGGAAATAGCTGTAGCTTGGGTGGTCTGTTAATGTTCCACAATGTGTGAGGCGTTTTTATAAGCCCTAGGTGGGGTCACGCAACTGTTGTCATGTTAATCAGTGGTAAAGGTAACTTAAAAGAAGGATAATAACAGCTGTAGGTTTCGTAGGAGATCAGGCCTCTTCGTCTGATTTCTCTCTACCTTCAGACGTGCGGAACGTCCGTCTAGTCGGTGTCAGGGGCTGTGTGTTGGTGATGGCATTAGGTGCCTCCGAGTGAATGCTCAGTCCCAATGTTTGGAGAAATGCTGCTGCGTCGGTTGTGGAGGTGAGTCTTAGAGTCCTGCCATCCGCTGTTGTGGCCGTGAGAGCTCTCGGCATATTCCACTCCGGCCTTCCTTAGTTGGTTTGTGACTGCACCTAGTGATTTCCGCCATTGTAGGGTATTCCTGGAAAGGTCTTGAAAAAAAGTCAGTTTGGATGACTCAAAGTCCATGGGTGTTTTGCCCTTCACGGCTCCCAGGAACCGGTTCCTGTCTGACATAGAGTGGCAGCGTACTATTATGTCGTGCGTGGCTTCAATGGGAGCCTGTCTAGATTTGTTGATTCTGTAGCAGCCATCAAGCTGGAGTTTCTTAGCTTGTGAGTGTGGGAGGATCGTTTCTACCAGTCGATGTAAGTAGTGTGGCAGTTCCGCCTGGCTTATTGTATCCGGGACACTTCGGACTTTGATGTTGGGAAGCCTATTGCGGTCCTCGGAGATGTCGACCCGCTGTGTCAGGGAGGTATGTGAGTGCTGTAGGTTGTGCATTTTGTCCCTCATTTCTCGTACCTCTCGTTGGAGCTCCAAAACTGTGTTCTCTGTGGCTTGCGTGCGAGCTTCCACCGCCTTCACATCGGTGCGGACCGTGTCTGTCGGCCGCTGACATTTGTCGCAGTTCCCTTAAGAGGCTGGCGGTGTCTTGTCTAGTGGCGGGGGCTTGTGGGTCTTGTTCTGTCAGTGCCTCCAAGAAAGTCGTGGGAGTATCAGCGCCACCGGTTGTGGGTATGTTGGTTGGGCAGGGCCGCCATCTTGGATGGCATTGGGCGTTGTAACATCTCCCCTATATCTTGGGAGTCTTTGCTGGGGCCAACCTGAGTTTTCTGGGTTCTGCGCCCCATGGTGTCTGTGTGTTGTGGAGGGTTGTCAGGTAGCCAGGGGGAGCTGTAGAGCTCTTCCAGTTCAGCTGGTCTTGTACCCCGATAGGCCCTGGACTTGCGGCAACCGCTGGCTATCCCGTTAATTAGTGCAGAGTGTGGTCGGCGCCCGGAGCTCCCCACAGTTGCGTCCGTTCGCATTAGGCGCTAAGCCCCTGTGACGAAGTGCCCTTAACCACTTGTGCCTGGAGAGGACTAATTGCCAGCCTCCTGCCCTGCGACTATGGCCATGAGTGCTGTGGCTTTTGTGTGCTCATTAAACAGACCTGCTTGACCCTTTCTTGAATCCTTGGCTCATGCTTGGGGGATGGAGCATCGATTGGCGGAGGTACTCGGTCGGAGTGTCAGCGGGTCCATCACAGTTGGTGGCAGCGGTGGGATGGCGTCCTAGTGCGAGGAGAAGCAGCTCAGAGACACCGGTAACATGTTGATCATAGTGAGGGCAACGCTAGCATTCGTGCAGCGCCCCTGGAAGCAGAGGTGTCCATTGTCTTGGAGCAAGCAAGTATGGCATACTCTGACTCTTGCGAAGATTTTCTGGCCGAGGTGAGGCAGCGAGTGGCCTGGTATGGCCCTGATGCGTCCATGGATACCTTCCAGGCGATGTGGAACCAGGTAATCGTCGAAAGAGAAGTAAAGAGGGACCAAGAATTCCTGCTGGCTAAAGCGAGGAAAAGAAGCCTCCAACGAAAAGAGTTTAGCCTCTCTCCCCAGAGGCAGCCGGAGGTACCCAAAGTAGGGGACCTCATAGATTGGTCCTGTGAGGAACCCCAACAGGCAGATGGAGATGGGACCGAGGTCTCTCTATCGGCCCTACAGGGATGCTGGGCAGTCGGCCCAGATCCCCAGTTACAGCCAGAGCTACAGATAGATGAGGCAGGTGGTCCTTATTCCCAAGTCCTGGGGGATCTCATAGTCTGGCACTGGGAGAACCCCCAAATGGCAGGTGGAGATGGGACCGTGGTCTCTCTACCGGCCCTACAGGGATACTGGGCAGCCGGCACAGATCCCCAACTGCAGTTGGAGCCCCAGGGAGAGGAGGCAACCGGGCTCTCTCTCCAGCGGCAGTGTGAGCTTCAGGGAGAGGAGACAACCTGTCTCACTCCCCAGCGGCAGCAGGAGTACCAGGAAGAGGAGGTAAGCGACCCCTCCCCTTCACAGCCAACCCCTAACCCGGGACTGGGTTTAATGGAGAAGATGTTAACCTCCACTGATCTCCCTTCCAGCAGAAGAGCTGCCATCCAGTCAGAGCACGGTTGGCCTCTGCCGTCCCTTGTCCTCTTGTTCAGAACCTAAGTACCCACCAGCCAACCCAGCAGAAGCACTGGCATCTGGGCAGAGCGCCACTGGCCTCTGCCCACTAGTTCCCCTCAGCAACCTGGGACATACAGGCCATAGCCAGACACCAGGAATCACCAGGGGCAGTAATGGTGTATTGTAGGTGGGCTACTCTGTTAACTGTTTGTTGTGGGTGGGCTACTCGACTAACTCAGGTACTGACCGACAGAAGGTCAGGTACCTGGTTAGTCTCCCCCCCCAATGGGAAGATGTGTGACGGAATGCCCTTCGCCACTTGTGCCTGGAGAGGACTAATTGCCAGCCTCCTGCCCTGCGACTATGGCCCCTGGAAGATTTTGCCCTTTAACCCCTTAAGGACACATGACATGTGTGACATGTCATGATTCCCTTTTATTCCAGAAGTTTGGTCCTTAAGGGGTTAAAAATTTTATTTGTGCATATTGGATTTTATTGTACTCTGTCTGCCCCTTTAAATTATATTAGAGCAGTGTGCAGATTTAAATTTTATGGCAAGACAGGAGGCTTCATATTTGCTTATCTTTCTTTACTGAACCTCCCAGCAGCAAAGAAATAGCTAACAATAGTGTAAAAACAATTCAACCAATCAGAGTGTATAACAGTATTATATGATGTCATCAAACTCCTCCCAAGTCCTTTTTCTTTGCTGCTTGCCTCCCAGGTGAGTCTGCTCCAATTATATTGCCTTAGGGTTTTTGCCTTTAATGCAATATTTGAACAAATTTTCTCATTAATTTGTTAAATTTTATAGCACCCATATCTCTATTATCATTTTTAAATAATTTTCTGTGGTAATGTTTTGTTTATCAAACATTCATTTTCACTAGTTTCTCACACAATTTATTATCAGTACACAGTACCCTTACTACATATAATAACTACCTAACATGTTGGTTTATTTATGTCTCTCAACAGTTTTTAAACTTTATCTCCATTGTTCCCCTTTAAAAATCGTCGGGGTTTGCCTCCGCGATTTTGTTACATTTGTGGCCGCGGTTTCCTCTCGATTCTGATTCCCAATTCCCAGGAGTCCGCGGCTCAATTTTGCGCCCTTTCTCAGATCCCGCTTTCTCGCGTCTGCAATTACCTGACGCGCTTCCTCTCGCCCTTTTGCTGGCGGCGGCCATCTTAAACCGCGGTTTACCTTATTTATGTGCGATCGCTTCACCTCACGTCAGATCCGGTAAGTATCTTATTTACTTGTTGCTCATAGCACCCTTAAAGGGCTACCACCTTTTTCCAAATTATTCTTTGTACCTATTTGTTTTTCTTGACAGGAAAATACCTGCTGTATCTTATGATTATTAAATAAAGGACAGCCTTGTGGGTGACCCCCACCTTTTTCTTTGTCACTTGATTCATTGAATGTTGTTGTGGGTAACCCCCACCTTTTATTCACTTTCTAATCAATTTATGACAGGTGTCTCAACACCATTACTACAAGTGAGTGACCCTCACCTTTGCAAATAATACAATATATTATTTAAAGTGACCCCACACTTTATTAAATATTTTACAGACATACTCATAAAAGTCTGACTACTGAGTGGTGAACCCCAGTTCTTATTGTTACAGTGGTACAAACCACTTATATAATTTAGTGGTCTACCCCACTAAATATTGTGTGCCGCCCTTATATATCAAACAACGCTTATTTGGGTGACCCCCTACTTAGAAATTTTACTAAGCACAATTGGGTGAACCCCATTTAACATTCTTGTCTTACGACTATTTGTCAGAACCACGAATACAGTCCTAACTAAAATGTCTGACAATACTGAGCCCGCAATTTCTCAGGAACTTAAAGCTTGGCTGGTTTCAACCATTACTGAATCCATCCCCAAGGCGTTAGCAGCCTTCCATGAAAAGACTCCTGGCGAAGTCAATTCCACCGCACATTTACTCTCTGACTCAGAGGACTCTCAGCCCTCGGATCAGGACGTCACACGTCCTTGGAAAGGGAATAGTATGTCTGCGGGCAAGGGCAAGGCTCCTGCCAAGTCCCAAAAATTAACTGTCACTCGCCCCACCCAAACTATATTCGACCCCTTGGAGGGTTCCACTTCTCAAATGGGCGATGGGGTGGAGGACTACTACCTTGGCTATTCTGATGAGGACCCCTTGGCGAATGCGCTAGGGGATACCCCATCGGAATTTGTCAAGGAGACATTCATTACCAAAAAGGACACAGATGCAAACATCTCTATGCCCAAGGGACCCGACTCAGACATCCTTCTGGATGCCTCGGGTGTCCCTTATTTCGACCCTAGGGTCATCCACGTTCGGTCGAATGGGCCCCACCTGACCACCTCTCTAATTTTAGCAAGATGTGGCTGCGTAAGCCCCTTGAAAAAGAAATAAGGGTTAAACTCAGAGCCGAATGCCCTCGGCCAACTATACCAAGTAAAGTGTCTCTCACACCAGAGATTGACCCGCTATTTGTGACCTTCCTCACTAAAACAGGGAAAGACCCTCTCAAGGGTATTGAGCAGGGTCTTAAGACAGCCGAGGACAAGCTCATGGATATCGCTGGTCCCATCATCCAAATTTTCATACTAGCTGACGAAGCTATAACTAGTGGGGAATTTGACCCTCACACAGTCCGAGAATGGGCCCAAAGAGCCCTATGTTTCCTGGGCAATGCAAATGTGGCTATATCCACTGAGAGAGGTAGGGCGGCACTATATAAACTCTATGCTAAATTAGCAGACTTAAGCTCCTGAGAACTGGGACCAGAAGCCAATGGCTTGTTATTTGGGGACTCTTTCATGAGAGATCTGTCCAAACGTGCAGCGGTATTTACTACCTTAAACAAGGCCCAATCCTCCCTATGCAGGGTATTTCGCTCCCAGTCAGGTAATTTTTCTGGGAGAGCTGGACGTTATAGAGGCCGAATGAACAGCAGAGCTGCCTTCACAGGCTACAGGCCTCGTCCCTCAGAAAACCACAGACAGTTATTCACCAATAGAGGATCCATCCGGGGACGTGGATCTGCCTCCTTACGCGGACGCACTGCTCCAGGTAATAAACCTTCCTTTTTTCAATGTACCTATAGCAGGTCGACTAACCCATTTTTTCCAACAGTGGGAACTGCATTCACAGGATCTATGGATCCTACACACAGTCAAGAGGTTCAAAATAGATTTCCTTTCCACTCCCTTCCAGGACACACCACCTGCACCATTTCGGATGTCTGCAACAGACAACTTGGCATTACACACAGAATTGAACAAACTGGTGGACACATACCTTTCTAGGCAATATTTTTCTGGTCCACAAAAAATCCGGAGACCTGCGTCCAATAATCAATTTGAAAGACCTGAATCACTATGTCAGATATCGTCATTTCAAAATGGAGGGCATCAATCTCCTCAGGGACCTCCTTTGCCTGGGAGACTGGTTATCCAGATTCGATCTCAAGGACGCAAATCTCACTGTCCCTGTCGCCCGCAACCATCTGGCTTTTCTTCAATTCCTCTGGCAAGAGGAAATTTGGCAGTTCACATGCCTCCCGTTCCGTCTTTGTTCCGCACCATGGTGTTTCACAAAGCTGATGAAACCAGTGATGGCGCTACTCCAATCACAGGGGATTCATTCCATTGTATATTTGGACAACCTGATAATGGCTCAAGATCCAGACCTTTTACGTCAACACACGGACATGACAATGGCCTTATTACAAAACCTAGGTTTTGTAATCAACTTTCAAAAATCCGACCTGGATCCTTCTCAGAAAGTTCAGTTTCTCGGATTCCTAAAAGATTCCATACAGGCGATTTTACAACTACCTTCTACAAAGCTCAAGGCTATAAAGAAAGACATTT